GCTTAAGAAACAAGCATAAAATGTTTCAATCACTTCGTCAGTGAAGAGCTGCAAAGGCTGCTGTAATGCACCCTCTCCTTCAGCTACGTGTTAGAAGCCTAGCAGCTGCATTTTCATTTAATAGTAGCCTGTTTATGTTACGCTGGTGTAAGTAGTAAACTCTGGAAGAAATAAAAGCAGGACCTTGTTAAGTCATGCTGAGATAAGAATGAGTGAATTTTAGGTGTCTGTCTAAGCTGAATGAAACGGGACTCCATGACATTTTAGACACTGTGAATCAAAAGATGTCAGATTCAAAGATTAGCCCTGGGTATGAGCCTACTTAGACTAGAGGAAAGATCCACAATCATTCAGCTTTAGTGAAAATGTAGACCATATCTCTGCAGGATTTGCCCAAAGGCCAGCATGCAAATACACAGCAGGCCCGTTTAGGCCCGTTCTCAGTAGGCATTCATCGATAAATCAACCAAATATTAGTATTAGCCAATATCTGCCTTTTTCTACTGATGTCAGCCCCTCAGCTTAAAAATGTCATTTGCTGATGGCAGTGATATTTATCAATCTGTGAATGTCACATCAGGTTTATGCTGCTGATGTTTTTCCATTATAACACTTTTATAAGCATAGCCCCAGAATTTCATAAAAGCGTATTCCTCATTCTCACTTTTTCATCCTGATTTTCTTTCACTGCAGTTTTGTGGGAAAGAAAATCTTTGCGTAGCACAGTTTTGGTGTGAGTCTTCAGACAAAAAGGAAAATGAGGGAAAATGTTGTTGAGCTGCTCAAATTCACCTGATGTTCTCCCACAGTAATTAAAAAAAATTAGATTGACATTTTCCTTAAGTGCACCTTGATCACGAGTAATTACCTCCATGATGGCGTTATAGCAGAAAACATTTGAACCATTTGGCTCTCAGTAGAAATGAATCCATTCCCTCATAGTAACCAACTATAACATTGTTTTATTAGTAACATTTTCAAATAGGCTTTCTTTGTATTTCTTAACCTTTTTTTTTTCTTCTGCATATAATTAAAATATTTATTATATATGAGGTACTATTGTCTTTCTCTCATTCTCATTGTAGCCTTTCACAGTTTCCCACCTGGGTCTGTGTGCTGGTATCATGGTGACGGCCTCTCACAACCCCAAACAAGACAATGGCTACAAGGTAAGACCTCGTCATTGCCTTGTCTTTCTTCCTTAAATGCATCAATAGCTTATTGATAGTTTTATTTATAATCTCTGCTAATTTAAAAATTACAAAGTTCCAATTTAATTTCTTTCCCATAAATTTCTGACATATTTAGTTTTTTCTGGGTTTGTCCTAGGTGTACTGGGAGAACGGTGCCCAGATTGTGACTCCTCATGACAAAGGTATATCTAAAGCCATTGTGGAAAACCTGGAGCCTTGGCCTGAGTCGTGGAACACGGAGGAGGCTCTGAAGAGCACTTTGCTCAAAGACCCCTATCAGGATATTAACACAGAATACTTCAAAGCTATCCAGAAACACTGCCATCACAGGTGCTGCATAGATACACAACTTGTTGAGCAGCATGTACCATTTAAAACGTGCTAGCAATTCTACTGTGTAATGTTTTAAATGCATAAGATGCCATGTAGGCCATACAAGTACAAGCACATAATGCTTTGAGGTAGAAACCTGTGGATATTCATAAATCATGTTTTGACTTTTTTTGCAGGGAAATAAACAAGAAGTCAGAGGTGAAAATTGTGCATACATCTGTGCACGGTGTTGGTCACACGTTCGTCCAGTCAGCATTCAAGGCTTTCGATCTTCGTCCTCCGTACGCAGTGGAGGAACAGAAGGATCCAGACCCCGAATTTCCCACCGTTAAATATCCTAATCCTGAAGAGGGAGAGGGAGTCCTGGTGCGTAGTCAACATTTGTCACACCCAATCATATGTACAGTTGTGTCCGTAGGTTTTTGGACAGTGACACAGTTTTAATGTTCACGATCATGGTGGATTTTAAATCAGATCATCAAGATGTGATTGAAGTACAGACGGGGAGTCTCGATTCAAGGGTTTTTACAAAAGTATCGCATTACTGTTTAGGAATTACAGTATAGCCCTGTACACTTAAGAGTTCATCCTGCACCTGTTTCTCTTTGTTTGACGATGACACACCTTCCTCTTTGAGAGTATTCTTGACATTTTGTGAGGTTGTTTTTCTTAACTAAGGAAATAATTTTGTAATCATGCACTTATTTTTCTTGTATTGAGATTTCCAGTGAACAGAAACCAAAATGAAAGTTTAACCCTCAAATTTAACTCCAGATCTTTTTTCTGCCTCTATTTGTCATAGACTAAAGGAGAAGGCCTCACCTAGCAATGAAACTGCTTGCCAGTAACGTGTCTATGTCTGAAAATGGCCGTAATTTCTAAACAGTTAATACAATACATTTGTTAAATTCCTTAAATTAAAGGTGAAAACGCTTCAATCATATCTGGATTCTTTGATTCAAATCTTCTGTGGTGGTGTACAGAGGCAAAACTACAACAAATGTTTCACTGGCCTAAAACATATACAGCTGACTGTAGTATATGACTGGTTTTGGTTGATTGTGTAACAAGTGATTGGTTGTTCTTGCAGACATTGTCATTTGCACTGGCAGAGAAGGAGGGGGCCTCTGTGGTGCTGGCGAATGACCCTGATGCAGATCGACTGGCCATTGCTGAGAAGCAGGAGAGGTGTGTTTGTGTGCATATACAGCTTTAATAGTGTTTGCAGCAGAGTTTGACACAAACTCATTGGGTAGGTTTATTAGGGTTGAATAAATAAAAATGATGGTGACCCACACATTTTAGAGCTACTCAGGACCTCCAGCTGCTCAGTTCTGGGTCTTCTTTGTCATTGTTTTACATGATGATGATTTCATCTTTTCAGTTGGTGAATGATCAGACCACTCTGCACCCAGGCTCTTGTAATAAATGCAGTGTGTAGTTTGGCATCATCTTGCTGAAATATGCAAGGCCTTCCCTGGAAAAGATGTCTAGATAAGAGCATGTGCTGCTCTAAAACCTGTATATACCTTTTAGCATTGATCATGCCTTTCCAGATGTGCAAGGCACCAATTCACAGATGCAGCCTTTTGAACTGACTGCTGATAACATGCCGGATGGTCCCTTTCCTCTTTAGGCTAGAGAACAAAATGTCTGTTTTTTTTCCAGAAATAATTTAAAACTTCTATTAATCTGACCGTGGATCAGCCTTTCTGGATCATCTTCATATGTAGCTTCTCCTGATTAAGCTTTAACCTGAATTTGTGTAGATGGCGAGGTGAACAGAAGTGTTTCTGAGCCCATGCAGTAATTTCCATGACAGATTCGTGCATGTTTTTAATGCAGTTCTGCCTGAGACCCACTGAAGATCACAGGCATCCAATATTGACTTTTGGCCTTTTTCACGCACACATAGAGATTTTTCCAGATTCTCATAATCTTTTGATGACATTATGTGTTGCAGATGAGAAGATGTTAAAAGTCTTCACAACTGTTTCATTGAGGAAGATTTTCAGTTTGTAAATGCAGCTTTTTGCAATTTGGTGAATCTCTGTCCATCTTTACTTGTACGAAACTCTGCCCTCTCTAAGATCTTCTTTTTATACCAACTTATGTGACTGACCTGCTGCATTTTTTTTTTTTTAGTGCCACTTGCTTTTACAGCCTTCTGTTGCTCCCGATCCTAAACTGTTGGAGACGTGTTGCTGTCGTCAGATTTTAGAAGGAGCTATTTTTAATGTAACAATTTAAATATATTACAGAATGCTTTGATGATCACAGATCGATGACCCTCTGCATAAGGTATGTTAGCTTGCCTTCACTTCCATAACCTCTGTCTGTGTCTGTGTTAGTGGACGGTGGCGTGTGTTCAGTGGTAATGAGCTGGGAGCATTGCTTGGCTGGTGGATATTTCGCTGCTGGAGGGAGCAAAACTCCGACGCTGCTGCTGTGAAAAACCTCTACATGCTGTCGAGCACAGTCTCATCCAAAATACTGCGCGCCATTGCCCTGAAGGAGGGCTTCCACTTTGAGGTAACAAAGTTGTTTTTAAAATAAGATTAGTTAAATTTTCCACTATGAGACTATTTAACAATACTGTTTTAGGTTTCACCACCGCACGTGTTTCAGATTGAATGTTTCAAACCATTCTCCGTGGTTACTGTTAACCAAATTTCTTACATAATGTTTGGACAGGAAACACTAACAGGGTTCAAGTGGATGGGTAACAGAGCCAGAGACCTTTTGGACCAGGACAAGACCGTGCTGTTTGCCTTTGAAGAGGCCATAGGTATTATCGCACGCAGCATACACACGAATGACTGTTTTCAAACTGAGACCAGTCCTGATTCCTGCTTTGTGGCTAATGCACACAATGATTTCCACAGTGTCACAAGCTGAGTTAATTTTAACTGCCTAAAAGTATTCAAGTAACATAAATTTGTGTGGGATCAGTTGATGACAACAACATTTTTCTGTTTGTTTTTGGGAGCTCACAAGATCTAAACTAAAGTTTAAATTCAACCTAAATCTAAACCTTTCAAAAACTTGCTTGAGGATTTAAAAAAAAATAGCCTTAAAGTGATGGCAGTAATGAAACTGAAATGTATAGTTACTTTGCTTATGAATAACCTGTTGGTGAGCTAAACTAGATATATAAAGTGCACAGTGACATGGAAAAGTAAAGTTACTATGAACGGTTAAGTGAGAGGTGTGTGAGCTGATCGCTGAAAGACATGAAGTTAATTTTTAACTTCTTTTGGGCCTTTCAGCTTCAGAGACCTTTATCCACAAACCTCTTCTGCTGTGGCAGCTGTCAGCACCCACGGCTTCTCTAAACAGCTACCTGTGTCTATGAAAGTAAAGAAAGCTGGTTCCTCATCTCATAGTTTAATCAAGAAGTGGCAGTTAACAGGAACAGAGGAGGTTAAGTTGAGATCTGTAAGACCAAAAAAGGGAGAATTGCTTGTAGGTTTGCTAAGAAGACCAAGGACAACCCCTGTTTAACTGCAAAAGACCTTCAGAATGAGTCACCAGCAGTGCACTGAGAACTAAACAAATATGACCTTTATGGAAGTGGATGAGCTTTTTGGCTGTAGTTGTTTCCACTTGCAAAGCTGAAAGTATTTCAGTGGGAGAGGGAACAATAGATCCAGTTTAATATCGGCGAATAATTCTGGAAGCAAAGGTCACACCATTTCATCTCTGACAAGGAAAGTATCACAAACTCACCTCAGACTTCACAGTGGACTAATTCAAGAGGTGCAAGATGATGCAGAGCTCTCACAGTCCCCTGAACTAAACACCACTGAAAACTGTGACCAAAGGTTGCATCATTACTGTGAATAGAAATGCTTCACTTTCTTTGTGCCGTCCTGAAGTATACTTGCATGTACTGATACTGAAATATTTCTCTGGAAAAAAACCAGTTGCGCTTTACAAGTGAATCTAATCACACAACGTAGCGCAATCTTGGTAATTTGGTTAATGAAAATATGAGTCATCAAAATTAAACATGTAAAAACATCAGATTCATGTGATGTGATCTCAGTTTTGATTATTAAAAGGTTTGAGCCGTGCTGACAGTCAAACACAAAGGCTGAGTTAAAAATGAAAGTTGTTTGGGGTTAATACGATTGTTAGTAAGTCCAACACACACATACAACATAACAGCATAGTTTCCAGCATTCCTATATAATAAGATTATGATACTATAATTGGAATCTCATGCCTTTGGATACACTGCTACTAAAAGAAGTGGCAGCTGACTACAGCAGCTGGAGGCTTATATAGTCTAAGTGAACTGTGTGTGTGTGTTGCAGGGTATATGTGTAGTCCCTCTGTATTGGACAAGGATGGAGTGAGTGCTGCAGCCATAGCAGGAGAGATGATTTCCTTCCTGGCGACTAAAAAACTCAGTCTTTCTCAGCAGCTCACTACAATCTATGAAGAGTAAGATGCACACACTTGCGTACATTTCACCTTAAACTTTGAATAACCTAAAACTGCAGGCTCTAGCTCTGTCTTTGATTATTTCTTATCATCAGGTATGGCTACCACATCAGCAAGAACTCTTACTTTATCTGCCATGACCAGGAAGTGATCCGCAGTCTGTTTGAGCGTCTGCGCAACTATGGTGGCACAAAAGACTCATATCCCACCGAATGTGGTCGTTTTGCCATCGACGCTGTGCGAGACCTGACCACCGGCTACGATAGCAACCAACCCGATAAAAAAGCTGTAAGGGCACAAACATCACACCTGTAGTTCATACACTGAGAGCATAACAAACCTCTTAATTACACATTATAATTGTGTAAGAGTTTTCTTTTAAAACAGTTGTTAGTTTTAAACTGCAGAAGTTTTGTGTTTTTAATTTTGCTCGTCTTTCCAGTTTTATTTATTTCAGTGTGTCTCTCCCTCTGTCCATCTAACACTCCTTCCTCTCCTCTCTCAGGTTCTTCCCACGTCTAGCTCCAGTCAGATGATCACCTTTACCTTCTCTAATGGGGGTGTGGCCACCATGAGGACCAGCGGCACAGAACCAAAAATCAAATACTACACTGAACTCTGTGCTCCTCCTGGTAACAGGTAGGTTACTTTAGAGGCAAAGCTAGTATAAGCAAACTCTAGAACTGTTAAATTTTTCTGCAGCCTGCAGAATGGCTTTATACATCTTCTTTTGTCTGATATCAGCCCAAATCCTGAAGGAATTTAATGATGGACAAAAACTTCTTTTTTTTTGTCTCTAACAGTGATGTGCCTCACCTGAAGAAGGAACTGGATGACTTGGTTGATGCCATCATTGAAAACTTTTTCGAGCCAGATAAGAATAAGTTGCAGCCAAAGCCACAGTAGCGCAGATGGGTCTATAACAACAAGCAGGACAAGCTGGGCTTAATATCTCTGACCAGCATGCCACATGTTGTCTGAATTCTCCAGACGAGATTCTTTTTAATTCTGGCTTTACATCAATTCATAAACGTGTTAGTGACAAGTTAACCATGTGGCTCGTTTACAATTTGGAGAAATCATGTTGTTGTTGATGATAATTAGTCATTTTTAAATTATCTCAAGGGTTGCTATATTTTCAGTAGTCAAAATGTTTCACAGCTTCATGTTTTTGATTTTTAAAATTCAGTTTACCTCAATGCCGGAGATCTTAAAGCGCACAAGTCCAACCATCTTACACCCACAGCCATTCCTGTTTTCACACTATTATGCTTTCTGTATTTCCTGTTTTGATGACATGCATTCCACAGTGTGCTTCAGCATCATTTGCTTTGCTGCTAATGTCAAGAATTAGAGGAGCGTGTAAATGAGAACATTAAAAGTTTATAGCGCCATCAAGTGGAGATACCGACTCCTTGTTTCTTCATACTGTATAATAAAATGTTAGAAGTCAAAGAGGGTTTTTTTTTTTCGTTTTTTTAAAACTTATTTTCAGTTTAAATTCATTTGATGGACTACAAATAATGTGCGTGTTCCGGTATTCTTCATGCTGAAAAATACAACTTTACTAAATAAAGATTTCTGACGGTACATGTGAAGTAACAAAAAACGAGGGGACACACTATCGATCTGTTTTGTGAGTTCCACGACGCGCGCAGTTGTCGCCCCTGCATCCTTCGCCAGCGCGCACACTCAGCATGCACTTGTCATGCCTCATCTGAGTACAGAGGCGAGGAGGACGGTAGGATTTGGTCTGTCATCTATATTTAACTCGAGCTGAAGACGGCTCGAGCTGTGTAAAGGGCTCTCTCGTTCCTCTGTCTGTAGGCAGTTACTCTTACACTATAAGATTTCTCTCGGTGGTGGTTCTGCCGCTAGCCACGACGGACAGGCGTGACCGGGACAGGTAAGGAAGGAGGAGAAGATGAAAATGTTAAACTGATTAAAACGGGACGTTGTGCGCGTTGGGAATCTCGGAGTAAACAATATTTGTGCGCGGTTTGCTCTCCGCACAACCCCCGTGCGTAAAAATAAACGGCTATGTGCGTAAAATGGCAAAACCCCGTTACGATCCGTTGTTTGCCGCCCGCTCCTTGTATAAAAAATAGCTTTCACTTCCGCGTGATGCTCTCGAGCAGCATACAGATCTTGAACGTTGCACCGCTGATGAAGTTAACGATTTATTTATATTAAGGCAGGTATGAAAACGTTTGACTTTTGCTTTTTCGGGACTTTAACGTGATCGTTTTGGTTAAACTGACAATGTATCTTCACTTAACCTTGTACTCGTGTCCTAATATTAAGGTTCTGACGCTGTTGTGTAATTTCGCACGGATTTCAAATGAAAAACGTAATGTGCAAACACAGGTGAGCGGTTATGTAGAGCTGTAGGATTAGCTCTGTAAGACCCCTCTGTGACAACTAACCGGTCAAATATGATATTTAAAGGATTACCATCATTTGTTTGTGTGTCCTTGAGAATGTACCACTGAGTCCCACACACACACAAATCAGGTGATTCATAGTGTCCTTAGGAAACTGGCCTCATTCTACACTAAAAGCAAAGTCGAGCAAACATCAAGCTACAAGATTAAGTTCTAATTTGCAAAGTAAATGTTTGTGTAGCACATTTGTGTTCATTTGAAATCTCATAAGATCAAGTTAGATTGTAAATGCCTGCGGCTGTCCTTTCAGCTGTTTACTGGCTCTGATCTCTGATCTCTAACTGATATTTTGTAGGTGAAGTGGAGGCAAGCAGCTGCCTCAGGTCACAGACATCATGGAGGGTCTCTACTTTGAAGTGAAGCCAAGAAGGAGTGAAGCTCTTAGACCAGGGAGCTCTGACAAACTCCGTCATAATCTAACTCCAAACTACCGCTCATGTCCTTCACTTTCACATCTGACCTCTGCCACGCAGTGTCTTCAGAAGCTCGGGAGGGAGAGGACTGCATCATGGGGGGCAAAGATGGAGGCGGAAGGAGAGGAGGATGAAGTACGATACAAACTGACCATGATTGGTTTTCGGAAAGTCCACCATCTGACCACCATGGCTATGCTACCCTGGGTGGTGGCTGAAATCAGCAGGTCTCAGCCCGGTGAGAGGGAGCAAGGTGGTGAGGTGCAAGCTGGGGGGTCTGGAGGTAGACAGCTGGGTCCTACTTCACGCAGTCAGACAGTTTTTCTGTGTGTGTCAGCATCAAGGGTACGATGTGTGTCCACGCTGGGAGAGAGCCTTGTATGGGACCCTCTGACACACACAGTTCTGTTTGAATGTCTTCCTCACCATGTGACCAAGCTAATTCACAACAGCCAGGAGCCCAGTAGCTTTGCCTGCCTGGTGAGAGGCACGCCGACTTGTGCCTGCTATGTCTTCCAGTGCCAGTACAGAACTAAGGTATGTATAAGTGTGTGTGCATGTGTTCTTGGATTTAATTACTTCAATCAACAATCGGGTAGAGCGTTTGAGGCTGTAGAAATAAGCTACACATGTATGCAAAGTTACAAAACAAAACATGTTTCACAATAACACAGAACAGTTTCAGAGCTATGGTAAATAAATACACATGAGCCAAATTAGAAGTCCAAAAAAGTCAAAGGGAGTTCTCTCACGACAAGCAACAGCATATGTCAACCACAAACCACAAACATATAAACACAAGCTCAGCTAGTAAAAGTATATGGAAACACAGCATGTCAGATAATCTGGAGCACCAAGGTACAGATGAGAATGACACGAGAACTGGGGATCACCAGCCGTGTGACGACCTCTTCCTTATGTTTGCACAAATGACAAAAAGTTGCCTGAGCATTCGGTGTGACCGCATCAGTATTTATTATGACAGCCCACAGAGAGAAACTGGATCTGGCTTTGGCTCGTTTGCGGCCCACATGCTTCGTGCTTTTATTCCATTCAGCAACACGAGCAAACACAGACGTGCATTTGATCCACTAACAGTGGACCAACATACCCCTGACCTCTAGTCCTTTTACCTTTCCTCCACATGACATGCATGGCCAAAAGCCTGTGTGTTCAAGGTGAAGTTGCAGCTGGTGTTAGATCAGGCCCGAGACATTCGATAGCATGCCATGCCCAACATGCCAGAGACTTAAAAGAGTTGGCCAGATTAGGAAGATGGAGACAATGAAGGGTACTCGATGTGAAACGTGATGAGTCAGAGAAGTCAAAATACAAAATGTCACATGTGCACCGCAAGAGAAATACCTGCACGCTTCAGTTATGCCTACAGCCATCATTTACTGTGTGGGGTAATGTAAATATCACTGAGTGTGCATCTGTCTTAAATGCACACATGAGTTCTTCAGCATTTGCACAGCGGCTGCAGACATGCCTGGATACGACTGTCTGTTTTGTTGATCAAGAGAAAATGAGCATACTTTACATGAAACGTGCAGGATGTGAAACAACGTTACCATAGAGATCACTTCCTGTCGCACAGATCCTGTTATGATGTTATGTTTGCAGCAGAGTAAGCGCTTGTTGTTTTCGTTACCTTTTCGAACATGTGACCACGATGATGTCAGGCTGACCACCTGTTGCTCAGGCTTCTCTCGCAGTTACATACATTCTAATTATAAGTGGCATTTCTACGCAGTGCTGCGGGGCTTTAAATAGTGAGATAATACAGTCTTTTCTTTAGTGTTTTAAATGTTGCCAAAGTTTTTATTAAGCAGAAAAAAATGCATACTTTACAGCAAGATGGGAATCTAGAATGAACCCTCACCACCAAAAGCACAAAAATCATCAGATTTTGAGTCAAATTAATTTTACATGACCTTACATCACAGACTTCACCCTGCCTCTCGCCCTATGACAGCTGGGATAGCTGGGCAGGAATGAGACAAGATAAGTTTCTAAATCTTGTGGAGGATCCAGATCATCTGGAACAAGGCACAGATAGTCAGGGGAAGAGAGAGGCATCAGGACAGATGAATGTCAGCACACTGAAAATAGGGCAGAGGAGAGGAAATGGGGAGAATACGGGAGAGGGAGCTTTGAGGACAGCAATTAATCTAATCTCATCTAAATTAGGTGCAATACATTTAATGGGAATGAGACCTGGATTCATAAGCCTCAGCACAAATCCTGATATTCTGATTCCAGAGGAATTGACCGGCTTTGGATAAGGGCATCCAGCCTTGTGTTTTCTTTTCAACTGTGAGGATAGACAGGAGCTGGATATGCTGTGGAAATTACAATGTAAATGTGTTAAAAGATTTGAGAAAATCAGACAGGTATTAGAGGGGCATGCCCAGTCACAAACTGTGTTTCATCCAAAGCATCTCACAGTCTGATGGTGGAAGACGGAGCTGGAAAAAAGTATCTCTGCAACAGGCATGGATTGACTGAGAAAATGACACAGTTGTCAAGAGTCTCTGTTCAACCTGCTGTCTGAGCTGTGTCAGCCGCACACACAAACACACACAATATCGCTCTTTGCTTCTGGGGTTATTGTCACTTTCAAGTGGTGAAGTTGAGAGCACAGTAACAGCAGTTTCACACAATTTGACCCTTTTCTCAAATGGGGCATTTCAGTTTGGACTGTTGTGATATGAAATGTGCACCTGAACATGCCCGATCAGGGTTGGTTCATGGCTTTCTGGCTTTCTTTATGAGAACCATGCCAAGTAAAACTTTTGAATCAGAAAAAATATCTGTATTTTTTTCTTTAAGCACATATTCAGAGTCGGAGAAAACAGGAGTTCCTGTTCACTGCAGGGGACAAAGAATGTACCACCATGAAGGATTTGTTCATGTTGCTGCATTAGTGGTTCCTCTTGGCTGATTACACGGTTATAATTTAACTGCCTCCGGACAGGAAATGCAGCTCTCTGCTCCATGTTGTGCCATGTCATACTGTTATCGCAAAAGAAGCTATTATATTGTATCTCCATATCTGCAACTGAAAAACTGTAGAGTTGCTTAACAGTGCAGTTGAATATACACATCCACTTTTTTAGACCACTAATGTTATAGACATTTAAGGTAAGTGTGTTTTTAGATGGTTGTCATTACTATTTCAGGAGTAACACTCTGTTACAGGTGCCACTGTGCTTTGCAGTTTCCCTTGTGTGTTTTGTAAATGTGCGTGCATGTTTGGAGGGACATGGGACCTCTTTGTGGTTAAAAATGAGACATTATGGGAAAAAGAACCACCAGCACTAAATTTAAGTACCTCAGCAAGAAACATAAACTTCCTATTCTCTATCAAGGGAGAGAAATGATCTCAGGAGGTCGGTGGGGCTTCCCCTTTCTGCTGAACTAGTAAATAAGAAAGTAACCACTGGGTGTCACCACAGAGGTGTCTAAGAATCAGTGTTTCGGTGTGAAAATCTGTTTGCATGACTTTGTATTTGTTGCTGTGCTTTTGTGTGATTTCAGCTG